CACTTAAAAGCGGAGGCCGTGCGCTCCACCATCCCACAACCCTTGGTGTCCGGAACACGAATCGACAACATGCGGCCCTAGTAAGGGCAAAAAGTACAACTACCACTTAGGGACTCACCCATTCTTGGTCGTATTCGAACGACGCAGGTAGTCGATGCTGAGACGCCGGAAAGCGACACTGACAGAAGTGACGTCCGCACACGCACACTAAGCCCATATCTAGATGCGCGGCCCCTCCGCCACCCTAGTATCAACATAGAACACACGACACGTCACCCATACGGGACACCGTGGAAATGTTGTTTTTGGAGACGTTATACGTTTTTTTTTATCATGCATTAGGAAATTCTTGAAACAATTTCTGTACATAAACTGGACACTTGTTGGCCTCGGACGTCCACGACTGAGTTCCTCATTTAGCCTCTGAAGGTCCTTCCAGGTGCTAACCAACGAGCAAATTGAGTTTCGCGAAAGCCGTTCAATATCCTAGACGACGGGGAGTGCACGTTCGACCACCGCCTCAAAAGTGCGTGCGCAAAGGAGGATGTGACGTCGATGCTGGAGCCGCGAGGTCTATTTGGACACCTGAAAAGTCACGCATGGACGAGTTAATGCAAATCAGTTAAGATAAACTGCGTCATGAATCAGTGAGATTCCTATTCATCAAATACTGTATCAATGCGTGAAGACTAACCTGGGCGTGTAGAACCACACATCGGACGTGAGACGGCTGGGAGATATATCTCCAGGCTGAGATATACTTGGGAACACAGGATGTCTAAGCCCCGCAGGATGTTGCGTCGACTAACGACATTGGCAGCTTGTCACGTTGAAACCCCGACGAATGAGGTAGTTTGAGTTAATACTTTTTCGCGCGGATCCAGCTGGAAGATGGTGTAACCGCATGTCGGTACTCCGTCCCCACATAACCGCCCAACCTCTTCCTGCGATTCGCTGTACCGCTCATGGTGTTTCACGTCGGTGCCTTCCACGGCCCTCTCCCGCAGTTGCAGTCAGCGCAAGGATCCCAATCAGATCGCACGGCGCAGGCCAGCATTGCAAGGCCGCAATCCAAACTTGCCGGACTGCTTGGACTTGTGGTGAACTAAAACAACATATTCAATTTCAAAAAAGTCCTAAAGCTAGTTAAGGTTTTTTTCAGTAAATCCTCAGATCAATAGATACAATATTCCTTTCTACGAAAATCTATGGGGGATGCAAGCGCTAGAAAGGCACAACATGTAGCAGTGATGGCCAGAATAATCGAAATGATTTGGCCGATGGAGTATAATTATAGAGCCAGTTAGCAGCCCACAACAGCACGGGCACATGATGTACAACAGCCAGAAATTCAATAAGAGGACATGGATGATGGTGCCAGAACAGGAACCCAAAACATGACATAGCGCAGGTAAGAGAAAAACATGGGCCTTATCTTCTTCCTCCACCACCGACCTCATGAACGAGCTTTGCTACTCAGAGTAGGCGCCTACAACTATCCAGAAAGTTAAAGCCAACCTAGTAAGTTCTCCTCCAGGGGTAGAGGCACTTTTATTGCGCAACTTACGCGCGGACACCAAAGCATTTCGTTGGGAGCTTGTTCTGTGGATGCTTAGAACGTTTCTTTAGTACCATGCCAGCACGTGGCCCCTTCATAGGCGGGGCTGGGAAGGGACTGGGTGGGACCAGAGCCCCATCTAGATTGAAGCATTTTGAAGAGTATTTGCATCGAAAGTTATTTTTCAAACGCACCACTAATTGTACTTTCTTTGGCATTGAAAAGTGTTAATTTATCAAAAGTGGCTTATAAATCATGGCAAAAGCATTCGTTTACGCCCACGGGTCGCGGACAATATCGTACGTCAACCAATGCTGTTTTCATGCTCTTGATAACTTCCTTAGTTAACTCATGTATCTTATGCTACTTGTTTTGGTATTTACTCATCAGCCAGTTAAAGTAGTCGACTTGTATGTCTATATATGTACTATTTAGCCTTGGTGTTATATTTATACAAATTCTTTATCGTATTTTACTGAATATCCAAGGCAATTATGAAGCTTAATTACTGTGGCTATCGCCGCATCACCGTATACAAGCACATTAAGCGCTATACGAGGGCATATTATGAGGCCACTGAAGAGCCTGAGTCTGAGGTTCCCTCAACGTTGAGAGCAGTTGGCAATCAGTCCCCCGAATGAGAAATGCATATACTAAGCTCTGAAACTTCTGGCAGTATGGATTATGTGTGTGCACCTCAGGGAACTCATCATACAGGTCGATATTTTAAAGGGGTGCTAGAAGTGGGTGGAAATGTGGGGCCAGGCGGGGCTGTCGTGTAGAACACCCCGCCATAGCTCCTTCCGCAGCCCTGCAAAGCCCTTACATAGCGCCCTGTAGCCGCACCATTTTGAGGAGTTTAGGCGGGGCTAGCGGGGCTGGCGCTGGAAGAGTAGCATTCAACTACCTCGTCCTCAGCGATAGTAACAGAATTACTCAGGCTAAAGTCAGCCAAGTCATTTAATCGTCTTTCGATAATTGACCGAAGTAATTCAGTATAATTCAGTATATATGAGGGATAGAGGCAGAGCCTTGGAAAACCCTATTGACAGATAGACGTATGAAAAAAAAAACATGCAGATATTTACATAGCAGTTATGCCAGTCGTTGATATCATGAAAATGTTTGACCATCAAGCATAAGTTTATCTAGTCTTCTTTTGCAAGTCTCGACGTTTTCCGCTAAGACAACGGAGTTCGACAATTTGTTCCATCCCTCAACCAGCCGGTGAGAGAAGAATTTGGTCCGCAAATCGAGTCTGGCATGGTTCGTCTTCAATTCGTATGGGTGCCCTCGGAAATTTGTCGTCCGCGCCAGTTCGAAGAAGTCATCAAACTAAAGAGCACAGTCTAGCCCTCGGACGATCCTGAAGGCCATGATCATGTCCACTCTGTACTGTCTATAAGACAGAGGAAATATTTTTAGCTTCTCCAGCCGTCTCTCATAAGGTAAGCCACATAATCCGCCGACTAGCCTGGTCGCTCTACGTTGTACGTTCTCCAGTAGGGTGTAAACTTTTTTCGTCCAGGGACACCATGTCTGGACACAATATATCAACATTTGTCGAACGTATGCGCCAAATACTCGGTCGAAAAGTTCTTCGATGATATTCCAAAAGTTCATTAAAGAAGACGAACTGCCGGAGTAACGGAAAACCGTTTTTATCTCCTCCGTCTACAAAAAGGAGGTTTATATGGGAGTCAGAGAACTACCGCTCTGCTAGTTTAACCCGCATTTTGTGCTATGTCCCGGAAGACTCATTGATATTCAATTATAGGTGTATCTGTAGTAAAGGAGCCTATTATGCACTACCCACAACCGATTTCGTCATGGTAACGGAACAACGGAACGAGTGAGTTCCGTATGAACGATCGGTGAGCGCCCCCTAACATTGTATATTCCCGATCGAAAACCGACAGGGCAACGGGCTCGTGGCCCGGTGAGTAGAGGCGTTGACTTCTAAACCAACAGGTCGCGAGTTCAAGGCTCGGGTGTTCCACACTTCGGGCTTGGGTTTGGCTGGCTGACGACGGCTAATAAGCCAGAAATGGCCATTCCAGTCTCCCTTGTCTTTGTCAGTAATATCATTCTGCCGGTAACTTATCTCTTAAAGGTGGTCTTTCCCTGCAGGATAAATGGACGAAGACCATAAACCAGAGTCGTCCGGTGGACGTAATATTACTCGATTTTAAGAGACGTTTGATAGCGCACCTCAGCAGCGACTCTTTAAAAAGTTTTGCAATGTGAAATCCAGGATAAAATTTTTAAGTGGATTAAGTTTCTGATCATTGATGAGATCGAGAGTAATTGATGGCCCGACAGCATTCAAATACTTAGCGTTTGGAAGCGGTGTCCAACAGGGCTCGGTACTAGGTTCTCTTCTCTTCCCCACCTATGTAAACCGACATCATGGGGGGTCTTGTCTGTGATGTCTTCATCTTTGCGGATAATATAAAATCTTGGGAAACGACCAGCTGACAGCGTGCGGAAACTGCAAGTAGACGTTGCAAAACTCATCAAATGCCCACAGAGTGTCTTCTCACGTTCGATTATCTAACTATGTAGTTTTATACTTGGAAGCTGACCGAAGACGTTTCCCAAAACACAATTACTGCATAAGTGGAATTCCATTTAACAAAGTGGGTTCGCGCAACCATCTCGGTACCCGGGCAACTTCGAATGTAACGCTCTCCAAACATTGTAGGAGAGCCGTCCAAAAGGCAAAGAACATCATCCAGTGGATTAAGCGCTCCCTCCATTTCTTTTATCTTGAATTCTTCAGGCAGATCCTTGATGCTTTCGTTAGACCACATCCGGAATATGGCGAACCACTATGTATGCCAGGGATGAAGACAGACAGCTAGCCCAGAGAGCTGACGTGACGAAAGTCAACGAAACTGGTGAAATGATTTAGAATTGTGTCCTACCTAAGAGTTCTGATCAACCTGTTTTTCCCTATTCTATGGACAGCTGGGTTGTAACCAGCCGTTGGCATTCCGCGCTATCCACGGAACTGACAGTTTGTATAGACAGAAAAAATTTTCGAGTTTGTAAATACGAGTCGCCTGCACGGCCATCCGTACCAGGTCAGATTCAAGTGTATGCAGCTAGACCAGCAAAAGCTTTCCTTCATTCAGAAGATACATCGACTATAGACCTATCCCTGAGCGAAATTGTGATTTCTGATGCCATAGCTGTGTTCAGTTGGACTGTTTTGTGCCTGATAAACAACGTCACCCGTTGCAGGGCTATGGTCAGTAGTGAAGTTCACTTGCTGATTTCACTCCTCACGGAAAGTTTGATGTAAAATGCGAGCGTTGACCCTGAAAATGACAATAGTTTATTCTGGCTGTGCGTACCTGAATTGCTCATCTTAACTGTACATGAATATGCTCATCAAGGGCCCCACCTTAAACCCTCAAATACATAGGAACGTGCATGTATGCTTCACGATGACGGCGACGATGATGCTGATGATGAGGCTGATGCCGATGCCGCCGTCGCCGCCGCCGCCGACTACGGTGATTATGATGGTGATGATGACACGCGTGACACAAGTAATGATGACATGAACGTCAGACCACAGACATAATCAGTATAAGCATCCAGCATAGACAGATAAAATGACAAGGGAACTCTCCTGGCATACAAGTGTGGGACAGATCAATGTTTAGGTAATAAAAGTCATCTGTGTATTGAAAATGTTCGGCATAGTACGAAAACACGGGTCTGTTGGGGAATGGAGAATTCCATCCATGTAGTAAAGGGCAAATATGCTAGTTTGTTTTAATGAGTGCGAGAATCGCAGCGCAGTCGGCACGACACAAAAATTCGCCGTAAGCAACTAGTAAAAACCAGCTTCACGAGGAAAAATGGAGATTGGTCTGTAAATGTCATCGAAGTTGGACCGCCTAAGAAGGTGACTAATTAAACAAAAACCGTAGATGAAAGTTATAGAACATGGGTGCAAAATGACTGCCGTGAATTACGACGCAAGTGGCAGCGCGCGAGGTGGCTTTCAAAGACAAAAATGCTGTTGCCGTAGCGAATGAAACACATAATCGGTTATAAGGAAATGTAGGCAGGTAAGACGTTTAAACGCGCGTAGTAAAAGGGCGTATCGTAACCGTGGACGTATGGTAGTACTGCCAAGCAGATGGTCGGGATGAAAAGATGTAGCGACAGGAAAAATGTTAATTTTTTCCTCTTTTTTTTCATTGAACGCTCCCGGGTACCAAGCAGAGAAGGAGAGGCCGAATGAGTGAGAAACCCCCAAGTTAACCGTAAACATAAACCCCATCCTAAACCTCAATATAAATCCCAACCCTTACGTCAACGCTAACCTTATACCTTTAGCCTAACCCTAAATTATAACCCTAAATCATAACTTCAAACCCTAACCCCAAAACCTAACGCTAAAACCTAACCTTAACCCTGACTCAAAATCCTAACCTTTAAAACTTAAATCCTAACTCCCACTCAACGCTAAGTCCCGACCCTAAACTCGAACCCTGACCCTTAACACGATTCCTTAATCCTTAACCCTGACCCCAACCACAGACTCCAAATCCGAACCCTGAACACCAATCCTGGTCCGAACCCTAACCCTAATGTGATGCGAAACCGCAAGTGGAATCTTGCACCATAACCGCATCTGTCCGCGTAGCACAGCAAAATGAAATCACCCGCTAGCGGTATCGCACCTACTGAAATCAATAGTAGTGCGGAAGCGACAAGTTACTGGTCAAGGAAGATCGCGCTTCCAGGTCCCACCAAAAGTTATCGTGATGTGTAGCTGCAATCACAGGGACGGCTGCATCATGGATCAGAAAACGCTGACAACGAGGTTAGCGGTATGTAACACGTCTGACTCCCTTTTCTTCGATAAAGCTACAGATCAAGGCGGGTGGTGAAGAGGGAAACGATAGACCACCTCCGAACCCCCAGCAAAACGATTACATTTTCCTTGTGAAAAGACAGGACGGCGCGGTTATAAGCCAAAAACGGCTTCTATACAGAGGTTAAACTTACTGGATTGACCGCGCGAGAGTTGTGATGTCTGATGAGGATTCAGAATGTCATCACTATTAATCGAGTAAGAGTTTTTTTTTAAACGAAAGGTAATGCCGCGAAACCGTTTACACAACTGTTTGGAATATCTGTCGGAGGTAGCGTGGTCTGATAGGCTCGTTTCCTAGGTCGCTGCAACACGTCTCTCCTCGCCTGTGAAATATGTTTACTCTTAACTGTCTCAGCTCGGGCTTATGTCGGTCCCGACCAAACTAGGATTCACGCATTTGAAATCTTTGAGACTCATGCCTTAAGACCACAAGTCGTGCGTTCAGTAATCGCTGTCGAGTCCGAATCCCGTTCAATAAACACAGAAGACCCTCTGTTTCGGCATCTCCTTCTGGTTTTATTCGATCACATCTCCAATTCGTAGCTGGCCATCACGACGGCGTTCCAGATCGGAGGGTTTTTTAAATATATTACGTTATGGATGAAATACGCTGTGAATTAGCAAAATGCGTGAAATAAACCTTTAAGATAGCGACTCATGACTGTATCATCAGTGGGCGCTGTTTCCGACCGGCGGTAAAGCTCCGCATCCGAGAAGGAGTCCATCAGCCAAGGCCACAACAAAAAATGCGCACAAATTCCCATCATTTCTGTCTCCCACCAGGTCAAGGTTTAGAGCTGTAGAACCAGGCAAATTCGCCGACAGCCTCGTACAGTCAGTCACTTATTCTGGCGAAACTCACGACGATGTCGCAAAAATGCATCACGCACAATTTTTTACACAATGGAACGCTATGAAGTAAGCGACTAATTGGTACTGACACATTATGATATGTGCTTGAACTTCGAGAGGGAAGGTGATTTTAGCCTTTATCGTGTGCCTTATCAGTCGTGAACCCACACTGTTTTTATGGGTCGCAACTGGGACACAGTGACAAGCGAATCAGAAGCGTCATTACAATCGCGCAGAGGTCTGGATAAATTCCATAGGTGCCTTTGCGAATTCATGTTTTAAAAGCCAAAATTGGGCGCCTATTACGACGAACGAAGCGACAAAGGATGAAAATCTTTAATTTCTCAGTGGTCAAAATTCTGCGTTTAAGGGATGAAGTTCTTGCGATAGATTGGTGTTGGGGGATTTGGTCTTATTTAGGGTTCAAGAGACCAAGTAAAAAGGAGAAATATTATAGTCCGACTAAAACCTTCTCTTCATATGGAAGGGTATTTAGTTAAGTCTGTCCGAATTCCCACAGGCACAATGCTCCGAAAAATGAAAACTCATAGATTATGATAGACCAATATTCGTACTAACTTCAGATACTTTACCTTCGGTTGTCAACGCTGATCTGAGGTGAATACTTGTCGGCCGCATCAGTAAATGAACGCTTACGTTAAGAAAGGTAAAAATACTTTGTGTAGCAAACGTGGGCCAAAGAATACAGTTTATGTTTTGAGGGCTGTGAACCGGTACCTCGACTTCTCTGCTTGTATCGATTGGCAGCCTTCACATTAGCGGCACACATAATAGCTAACCGTCATACGATACTTCAGATACATCAGTGACAAAAGGCAGCACAACAACGGACGGAGGACAATGTCCCGAATAACTCAAATGCTCATGCACTTCTAAGACACTTCGGGTTCCTGTGTCAGATGATACTGGCAAGCACAGGCGCAGTGGCCATACAGTTAGCTAACTAAACCTTGTGTTTGCATGAAGCGTTTATACAGGTCCTAAGGCTCCTTCGTCCAAAGATTTACCCAGCAAGTTTTCGCACCTCCTGTCATGTTGCGTTACAACGACGAGACAAAAACATAGCTAATTGCCGGACACCTTTCACTCCCCCTCCCTTGACCCGTGGCAGAACTAGAGTATAGCCTCGGACCCTTTCGCCATATTTAGCGTTTATTGGCTTTTTAAACTTTTGCTACTCTACCCTCAGATTATTGCAAAGGCCTGACGATGTCCAATCGAAAGCGTACGTTTAACGGACTTGATTTCTCGAGTGTTTACATAGGGATCATCGGTGGACTGAAAATAATAATTTCATATATGTAAGATCTAGGACGTTATGAAATCCAGAGTTTTTCCCTGTGCAGGAAATGAACTGCTGAGAGAAGTTTAAAGTGACCAACATGGTTAAATGTATTAGTAGAGTGGAAATGAAATGTTCGAAAGGCAAAACCATCGTGTTCAAAGTGTAAAACACAAGCAAGAAAAGATGAGTGACGCGTGCCATCATATCGAACCCTTAGAGATTGATGATGAGATGTGCGAAATGTTTTAAAATACGCTTTGGCTGGCCTGTAACATTGCCACCAGTTATACGACCGTGAGTAAGCTTAAAGAAAAAGTTTGGGCCGAATTCTTCATGTGCCTTCCTGAGTTGTTCATGTGCCCTTTGGCGTCATCGGCGGAAAACCTGGGATTCAAGAGCCACTGCCAAACACTGTTTATTCCGAAATATAAGGGCCCTTATGTACAGTAATCTTTTGAAAATTAAAGGCAGCTATGGCATCCGCGCCTTATTTCCAAATTATTGCTGCACATTTCACCATATTTTTCAGAGTCATATTAAGTGTTTTGAAGACTCATTTCTCCCACGCCAACACGCTAAAAGATGCCTGTACAGAGACTTTGGATAAGTAGTCACCATAAAACTATTGTTGTCATTCATTGGACAACATCTCCTCTGAATGATAATTAAGCCGAAGGGGAGTTGGCACTCTGTCTCCATACAAAGTTCAATATATAGAGGAAGCATCTAATCCTCTATATGTACCCCGAGGAGCTGCGATGACATTGCCCTCACAACTGTTTAGAATAGAATATGTTTATTATAGCGCCCCCTGGGCACTGTCAGTCTCCTTTGAAACATTTAATTTTTCTGTTACAGTTAATGTAGATGATGAAAATTTAACTAACTTAGGCTGCACATTCGAAGTTGACATTCTTATATGTAGCTAGCCTGGGCGTCTACGAAGTTCAGGCGAGGGTTGCTACTGCAACTTTGTCGCCCGACGCTGCAACATATCACGATATATTTTACCCTTTGCGGGTCACAGCTTCTGCACTTGTGTCCTATGTTTTGAGCAAGAATTAGGAAATTTGCTGCAGGATATCTCAAAATGGTTGTAATCGACGGCTAATAACATTTTCCTGCTAACGCGTAATGCTCACAGTACCTTCACACAGTCTTGACACATCTTCTGAAGGGGTTATGGCTATGAAGGAATCGCACTGTTGACTACGTGATAGTTGTTTGGGCACACATGAAGGACGATCAGTTTTCCACTGGAACCAAATATACGTTTCTCATGTAAGTCCCGTAGCCCGTTGGAAATGTATTAAAGAGCTATAAGACCGACTGAATTCAGTGGCCAGTCTGAATTTTAGCTGCCCACTCTCACGATCTTCAGCGCCTTTGTCTATCCACATCGTCTTCGGTTCGCCCAGTACGCCTGACAAGCATTGCGTATGCGCGTGTCACTTTGAAACAGCCAACTACCTAAGATCTGGCAGTTAATTTCAATTTTTAAATAACGGCTTTTGTTTTCGGTCTCGTAGCTACGGCGACAGTGGTGGGTGCTCGAGGTCGCAGTCATCCGATTAATTCTATCGAACCGGCTACCGAACAGCTGCCAAACCTACACCAGTGTCCTACGCAATAATCCCTTTAGATTCTATCCTTGTCATTTTATTGCGTTCTACTCTTTCCACTCACCCTCATTAGTTAGTAAACCCTTGTCTCATTCATATTGCCTTATAAGTGACCTCATGAACGATCGACTATGATTAAATTTATGTCAGAGACGGTTCTTACAAGTTTGTCCTGGAATGTCTACACCGATATACCTGTCACAAGATCTGCTGAGATACCAGATGCCGACAATACCGATCAAGTATACGAAAAGAGGAGCAAAAGAGACGTTACAACTCAGCCATCTGCTGGCGACGCCATGGCGCCGATCAATATTTGTCTCCATTGATTGGCCGCAGCCGGAAGAAGTTCAGGCGCACTCACCTCGACCGTCACGTGCTTAATGAAAACAACCACCGCAGTCACGCGTTGAGTAACGGGCACACTCTTCTGCTCCGAGGAATCTTGACCATTTAACTCTCTTTCCTGCTTTCTGATTTGGGAATCTTTGAGTTGTCGGACATCGTACCTCGGCAAAATCACCGCAGTCGGGTTTGTGAGAAATACCACTAACGAGAATAGTTAAGAACAAAGGTGCGAGAACCGAATCCAGAGGAGCACCACTTGTTACGTCCAGTCTGTCCGGTTGGTTCTCTTCAAAGCAAACCCGTTGTGGTCAACTAACTGAAAATGCCTTTGTCAAGTTCACAAGCCTTCATCTGATGTCAGAGACACTTAGCATGTATATTAAGCATTGATGTAGGGCACTATTGGTGACCTTGCGCGTATACCATGCTATTTAAAAATTGACCACGAGAGCCTTGGTTCTGACTTTCACAGAGATCTAAAGACTTGATAAACACGAACATAATGGCCTAAAACCAAGTCGGAGATACCGCAGGGCCTTGTTTTGTTTATAAAACGGTTTTGCAATATCCGTTAGTAGAACTTACTTTATGTTGCTAGAAATGCAAGTAGATGTTTGCTGGTCGAAACCTATGTGAAATTATCTGACAGTCTTTTCTAAGAAATAACTACGTTGGTGGTTTTTCAGTCCGAATACAAGTTACTCGTTTGGAGTGACAAGGACAGATAAAAGAGAGCTTGCCAGTTCTATGTGTGAGTCTTAAGTTATTACATCGTCCACAAGGTTTGCCTGATTTTGTTTACTTAAGGACCAGTTCTATACCTCAGACAGGAAAAGAACCAATTCCAATGAAGGGATTGCTTTGTCCTATCGCAAGCTTTGGGTTGTCTTCGGGTCTATCAGCGTTAATGTCGACTGAAGAAAATGAGATAGAAGCCTTAATTTCTGAGGTACTTTTGACACTAGGCTAACGACGTAAACTTCGAGGCACGCATTTTCGTCCTTGTTACTCACCCGAATGCGAACAAACCAGCAAGACTTCGTTGAACATGTGAGAATTACTGTTGCCAACTGGTGCTCTGGGGTAGTTCAGGCAATCTGCACCAGATGAAGACGTTCAACACGTTATTCCTTCACCCAGGAGAAGAAAACACAAGTTGTAAACTACGGCTTACTTTCTCCACAGCCTCTGCTTCTGTTTACACTCATTCTTATCGTCACATGCAATCATGGATGTAAAGGAAAACGTTTCGTGCGGTCATAAGAAGATAAACCATGACAATATGAATTAAAGATCACATGAGGAGCTGTCAGAAAACTTCCGAACTACTAACACTAATTAAACAAGCTTTCTTCAAAACAGTATGCAACACTGCGCATGAATGGTCGCTAAGGTTATTATTTGCTATCTTGAGCTGGAACTGCGGAAAAGGACAAAACAGAACATGCATGCGAAGGCAATATTACCACTTACTGCAAGTGATTGCTGCGAACCTGTCTTCCGCATCGTTCCTTCTTCATCGCTGAAGACGAAATAAAGACAGCAAACACACTGTCCTTCATTCAGACCGGTTCTGAAATGTACATTTTGGACGACTTTTTCACCTCGAGCTAATCTTGAAGGCCGTTAGTCGAATGGTCCCGTGGAGACGCTTGCGGCCGGACTGATTTGGTCCGTGTGAAGAGTGCTCAATTCAATCTTAGGTAGCAAGTTTTAGTGTTTGCACAACCACTTCGGCGAGTGGAATAATTCAACGTCAGATAAGCTACTTCTTTTTTGGAGGTAGACGGACACTGGACAGGTTAAGGGTTCCCAGTCGTCTGGTTCTGACTGAACGAGAAATAATTTGATCTTTTTTTGGTTATGTATTAGACGTTTCCTGCAAAGGTACAAAGGCTTGTTGGATGTATTAATTCGACCTCCAAGCTGTAATTTTAAATGTACCAGAACAATTAGTGACCTCTGGTACGAATTCTAATGATCCTTATTTCGTCAACCAGTTAGATTTCTGGAGGTTTTTGGTCGTCCCCAGTCACTTCAATCGAGTTCATCGAGTTTGCTGAAGAGACTTACAGTTAGTGATATGGATTTATGAACAGAGACTATTGGTATTTGTCGAGACGTCCAAAGTCTGCTTCTGCATAGTGCCTACACATCCAGTGTTACTATCTTCGGCAGACGAATTTCTCGTTTGAGTTCAATGATTTTCACATCTCTGATTCATAAACCCCTTTCGCGCTTGCTCTGTCTTTCGTTCAGCGAAGTTATTGGCCGTGTCATTTTCATCCTTCTTTCTCCTACATAGTTCAGCGGAAAAACCTCAGCATGCACACCTCGTAGAAATTACGTTCGTTGCATCAGGATTTGCATCAGTGTTTCGTTGTTAGAATGCTCTATGTGGGTCTTGGCACGGACTGTGGACTACACATTTGTTTAGCATTCTCTGTAAGATACGTTTCGTGAGTTATAAGCGACACCGCTAGTACGTGTCCATGTCCTAAGTGCTGGGCGAAGCTGGAATGGACGAAGGCGTGACCCAATATGGAGGAGCGTTCGTCTTTAGTCTCTAGAACAAGCGGTTGGCAATATTGCAAGTTTTTGCAGCGTAACTCACGTGAATGTGTTCTTTGCGCAAATGACCTTGAAGGAAAAATCGTAAAAGTAATTTCCCCGTCATTATTTGTTTTTGAAGGGATGCAATGAACTGGGCCATCTTTTGAAATCCCGGCAGTTGGCACCGTGTTTTGATAGGCGCGAGCGGAACCGAACGAGGGAACTAGCCACTTTCGACTTCAGCGCGCGTCGGCCGTGTTTAGACTTGGTCTTCCAAATAACCGAAAATTAGTTTCCATTTTGTTTTTTCCAAATACGCTTGAAAAGTGGACTCTTGGACTGGCGACAACAAAAGTATGAAGGATTTAAAAATATCTCTATTAATCACTTTAGACCTCCTCTTAACTGTCACTAATTTCAGAAGTTACAGAGCACTTCAGTGGATTCTTATGTTTGAGATTTTCTACAACGCTTTTCAGATTGTTTTTGCAAAGCACAAGTGAAACTTTTATTTGAAATTCAATAGACCGCATGACGTTTTCCCCGGCACTCTTTTTTGTACACGCATATGTCTGAGAAGCTGGAGAGAGTCTTCATGACATTGTTAATCTACAGTTAACTTTTGTGAGTTCTTGGTCAGCATAAATTACAAATATTTAAAATTGTTCCACAAACATTCCCATGTTACACTTGAAAAGTAAAATTGGCAAACATGTGTTTTCGGTAATTCTTCGTCAGGTCAATACAGTTAAGTGGAGGAATGACAATGTACAAAAGTAACAGTGTTTATAGGTGTCTCAAGGGCAATTAAGTCATTACCACTCATCTTCCCCACGCCACCCGCATGACGAGGTCGGCGGGTTTGGGTCCTCAGAGCTGGGGGAGGGGGGTAAGCGAGTCTTTGAGTGATGCTCTTAGATTGAGTACACGGAGTACCCATCACTGTAATTAGGGATTTGAGGCGGCATGTCGTCATCACATGAGGTTGGCGTTGGCCACGGCAGAGAGATCGCTTGTATCAGGGTTTTCTGACAGCATAACACCGAATTCGCTAGCCATATAGTCCCTGCCTCGGCCGTTGTTAGTATCCGTTGGCGTAGGCCCTTAGAGAAGTCTGTTGGTGCCCGATAGACAACCTGAAATGCTTCTTTGGCACAGACTCGGTGATCCGTATCGATTAAATGTGCGAGAATAGAACTTGAAACCAGGCGGGCTCATGTTCAAGTGCCCTCTTTATCAGGCGTCTCGTTGTACGGCCGATGTATCCCGCTCCACAGGAGCAAATGAATGAGTAGATGCACACTGATGTGGCCTCCAACGGTAGTCTGTCTTTACCTGCCAAACGTAGGAGGACAGAATTTGTGAAACATATGCGTAAATTCGCCGCGGGACAAAATATAACAAGTAAAGAACGATTGTTGCGGTTCAATACGAGTCAGTACGGGAAGAGTAAATCACGAAGTGTTTTCTAGGACCAGCTGTAAATATTCGTTGTGAAAGATGAGTTTTGTCAAGAATTTCACAACGTACTTCACTTTTGCGGACTATAAAAGAGCGTAAGTTTCTACATCATCGCCCGTTTGTCGGTTTTAATCCCCTACCTGGGCCATGTGTGGAATTGCTTACGGGTGAGCTAAAAATGTTCTAACTTTCCTTTAAGTATGCATGTTCCAGGTGTTCAACGGTTTTCGTATCATTTATGTGATGTCCACAGCATAATCAGACTGTGCTCAATGTATACGGATGTTGAGAGGATCACGGTTTCCCTCTAATCTTTTTACTCTGGGTTCGTGTTTTAATATTAAAGGAAGGGTAAACCGAGGTTCGACTATCGAATTCTTTCAAAGTTAATTTCTGACAGGCGTAGGGATCCTGAATTTTAACCGTGCGAGGAATGCGTGTGCTGCGATTAGGTTGCCAATTTCGATATGGACTCGACCAGCTGGCCATTTTCGAGTTCGCTAAGAACTCGAAATGAGCCCGACTCAAGTTTTTATTGCTATCAAGGAGCTCAGGACATTTAGCGATTTGTTTGTGGCGATCTTATCTACGTTTTTTTATTATTATGTTTAGGCATATGTTGGTAGAATAGAAACTTGTTTCTGACCGT